GAAATGAGATTGTTCCATCGATGTGCTAATCAACTGGTTCGATTTGAACGGCTAATAATATCGATTGAACGGACGGCTGTTATCAAACGATGCTGATATAAAGAAGTTGAGATGACATTTCGCATGATCTTCAGTGTTGATTTTTTTCGCATGATCTTCATTATTGATTTTCGATCACCATCGAGTGATCTTTCGTTCGGTTAGCCTCTGGTGAAATCGTGTGTCCACCAGCCAGTTCACGAACAATTTCATGAATTTCGCGACCTTTTGTTTCAGGTAAGTTGAAGAACACATAGGTGAGAGCCATTAGAGATGGTATGATGAAGAGTGGTACCATACTCCAAACGTTGATCCATCTGTAGAGCGGAAGCGTGGAGAAACTGAAAACAAAACGCTCTCTGATTCAATTTCCGTGCAGTTTATCAATTCGATTCAAACACTCCGCTCTCATGAAATGTGACACACTTAAGAAATAAAATTCGTTAGTAATGATTAAGAGAGTTTGTCAATTTAACAGTCGTTGTTACCTTAACATGCACACAACACCATTAAGTAATCGATCACGAATTCGAGAAATCAATTGATTATGAAAAAAGTTTAAAGTGATTTTTAAAAAGGAGAGAATGAAACTTATCGTGACTGACACTGAAATGGTATTTAAATGTTTTAGAAGTGAGCGTGAACGTGGGTATTTTCGTAGATATTTCGTCAAAAATAGAAAAAATAAGAAAAATGAATGACGATCACCTAAAAGTGAAGATGAAAATAGCGTTCACTGAGAAGACCATCGCTTGCACGGCTGATCGAAAATGCTGTGGTACCAATTCGCTGGTTATGAAAAATGCTATCGGTCCAAGCGCCGAGCTGAAATGATTTTGTGGTATCTTGATTTCAGAAATGAACCATCATTAGAGATACATTCGCCGACTTTTTGGAAGAATTTTGACTGCAATTTTAACCGAGACGTTTTTTGACCAAGCGGGTTATCAGTCTATCATTGTGATCAATTCACTGATCGAATATTAAAACAATTCACATCATCGTTGTTAGCATTATTATCCTCATACTTGATATTTTAATTCTCTCGTTTAACTGACTTTCCTATCGCTCGTTTCATCATTAATTTATTGGATTTGACACGGTCAGAGAACTGTTCAGTAGGCAAAATGTGCTTATTGCTAGTCAAATTTGAAGGTGCAATTAAGTATCGACTAAGGAAGGATCTCGGTCAGGATGTGTGCAAGCCGTGTGCATCAATGAAGCAGCACATCTGATGACGTACCCATAAGTGATGCCGTATCCGAGCAGCGATATCACGCATCCATATCGAAATTGCGTGTTCACGTTGATCGCCAGTCGATCGAAAACACAGTATGAACTCAAAAAGAAAACGTTCAGAAAGCCGAAGAAGAGCAACATCGGTCGTCGCCCGAAACGATCCACGGCAAGCAAGCCGAATATACTCGAAACGAAATTGCACGATGCGAACACGAATGAAAACAACTGCAAATACGCCGATTGCGAAACCAATCGCAAGATCTCATTTGAATTTTCGTATTTTCTACTTTGAAATTCCTGACAATTCGAATTTTTTGCCTCATTTGAAAACAATTCACTAAAAATGTCACAGTGAATTAATGACATCTTATTTATCGCTTCAACTCAAATTTCCAGAATTTTGTCTCAAACGTGAAACTCAACAATGGACTTTGACTCATTCAAGCCATTTTCTGATCTTCAGAACGTGTACTCTCCAAGTGGGCTTGAAAGTACACGTTCAAAAGATCAGAAACCTTTTTTTTGACTTTTTTCTCTGTATTCGACGAATGAAAGAAGGTGTTGTTCCTTGTTATGGTGTTGACATTATAGGATGAAAAACAAATTCTCAGCAAATAATTATTCGACGAACTTGTGCCATTTCAAGTGAGAAATGTGCTCTGAGAAATGTCGTTGACACATAACTTATTGGTACGATTGTCAGCATTACCTGAAAAAGTGAGTGTCATTTCCAAATAGTTTTATGAGTCTTTTCAGATCGTTTCATAGGTCTTTTATGGGTTGTATGGGTCTTTATGAGTCTTTTTAGAACAAAGACGACTGTTGCATTTAGAACTTGCGACTGTTTGAGTTTGCATTTTTACTCTCACAAAAAACTATCATAAAGATGCCCGCATCATAGTGATGTTTCTTTCGCAGTTGAACTCTCCTACTCCTGTTCCTGTTCTATTCCGAGGAAAGAACAGAACAGCGGTTCTTACAAATAAAGGACTCTGCCAAAAGAACAGTTAAAAAGTGGATCAGAATAGAACAGTTTGCCAAAAGTGTGCAATAGAAACATCACTACTTCA